CTTGGACCGCAGCTATTAATATACCATGCCGACACATGAAGACGGTTATCTCCTCAATCTTGCTCTGTAGCCCGTTACAGTTGAACTGAAGGAGCTTCATGTGGTTCGGGAGACGTGTCGTGATGTGGGGTGTAAGTGAGGTGTATGTTATAGCCGCCGTTGGCTGTGTGTGCTGCTGAGGTGATTGCCGCCCTGTGGTGGTGGTGGGGGGGCGTCGCAATTGAAGTCAGCGACCGAGCAGCGCAACACGGGCCCTCGAAGTTCCCCGTCCAATCTCGCGTGGTACGCAGACCTGAACATGCCCTAAAGTGGCACCAGCCAAGGCAGGTGTTGCACTTGACTGATGTCACATTACGGAATATTCTGGTGGTACGGTCTGTGGTGTTATTATGTTGTTGTGTTGTTCTTTTTAACAAATGTATTTTTGCGTAGAATTCCTTTCTACGTAAGCGGCCTTCGGCCGCACTTAGGGATTATAACCCTCAGGCAGTAGAATTCTCCTTGCTGTGTTGTCAAAGAATGGGGGCTGAACACCTTTTGCAGAGAACACCTTTCTGCGTAGGCGGCCTTCGGCCGCACTTAGGGATTATAACCCTCAGGCAGTAGAATTCTCCTTTCTGTGTTGCCAAAGAAGGGGGGCGGAACACCTTTTGCAGAGAACACCTTTCTGCGTAGGCGGCCTTCGGCCGCACTTAGGTATTATAACCCTCAGGCAGTAGAATTCTCCTTTCTGTGTTGCCAAAGAAGGGGGGCTGAACCCCTTTTGCAGAGAACACCTTTCTGCGTAGGCGGCCTTCGGCCGCACTTAGGGATTATAACCCTCAGGCAGTAGAATTCCCCTTTCTGTTTTGCGAAGAAAAGGAGCTGAACACCTTTTGCAGAGAACACCTTTGTATATTTTTAATGCTTACTGGGTTATATCCTATCTTCTTTTGTCTCTCATTCTTTTGCATATTTTGGAGTTTGACAGCTGAACTCCGCCATTTAATTTGCATATGCAACCAAAGTCAGACGCGTGATTTTGAAGGTGTTTTTATTTAATGAATTGTGATGAATTGGTTAATATTAAAGTCGTAAAGCAAGTTATAACAAATCAAGTAAAGTGTAAAGTGAAGGGGAATACAAAAATATATTGGTGAAGTGGCTAATTTAAGCAGAATAGGAGTGATAAATGTACGCTAATATCCGATATTTACAAAAAAGGGCATATTTCAAACCCAATTTGTAAATAAATTAGTAACCAAAATTTACAAAAGTGAGTGTTAAAATATTGCGTGGACCCTTGACTACAAGTGTGTGAAATTTTTTTTGGATCGGACCACCCATTTGGACGGAATAGCCCGAAATAGTTGTGAGCGGTACTAAACCCCACCCGAATCAATACTTCGATAAATAATGAAAATGTTTACTAAAAAAATCGCGCGATTTTTAATTAAAAATTTTCGACTGCGGCGCTTTTTCAATAAAAATCAATACTTCGATAAATAATGAAAATTTTTTATAAAAAACCGCGCGATTTTTTATTACAAATTTTCGCCTGCGGCGCTTTTTCCATAAAAATCAACACTTCGATAAATAATGAAAATTTTTTATAAAAAATCGCACTTTTCGCACTCCATTACGCTTACTTTTAATTACAGCTAAAATAACTGTAAACCATAAAAGTAGCGCTGCCACGGTATGGCGAAATTTGCTATTATATTTTGGTTAGAATATCTTATTTAGGGAAAGTAAAAAAAGAAGAAGTGTATAGTGTAAACTGAGTATAATAGCGCAAATGAAATGTGAAATAGTGGCAATACCAGCGATTTGAGGTTATAACAATTTTGGAAGGCGCAGTTTTACTGTTTTATTAACGAAATATATAAAATAAGTGAATAAATGATTTGGTTTGCATAAAATAATAACCGGAGCTGTTTTAGTAGTGTTTTAAAAGTGGAAACTGGTGATTTAGTGCATTTTTGACGTGGTAATTGCGCATAGAAAACAACGAAATTTAACAAGGTTTTTGTTTATAACTTTTAAATGGTTAATAATATTAGCCCTCCCCCTAAAGATTGTTAATAGGGGGGCCGAAACGCGTCGTTTGGTACCCCTCCCGACTTTTCCGGACCTTTTTTAGGGGTTGTTACCCTACACTAGAGAATTACCCGATATACAATTTATAAGTGGCATTTTGTACAAAAATTTAGGGGTGGTAGTGAAGATTATTTAACAACAAATTGTGAGTGATGTAGAGAAAGCCTCCTCCAACATCCTTACCAAGTTTCATGGCGAAATTCCATATACTTTCGCTGGTTCCGTTTTGGAAAGCCAACCCAAAACTGTTATCATTTCTACACAAAATGTTGAAGATATCGGTCAACGACGACTTCCTCAAAACCCCCTAAGAATTTCATTAAACATATCGCTACACTTTGCCTGAATGTCCATTATTGGAAATCTCAACCTCGATGAGGCTTTCCTGAAGAGCCTTGTAGTTGGAGGAGTGAGCAAGTCATTTCATTCTTTGGCCTTCGCTGTCAAGTTGGGGAAAGTGGCAGGTGCAACAGCCAAAACTAAGACACTATTCGGAACATTTCTCATTGATATCGGTATTAGTATCACATTTGGTACATACCAACTTTAAACATATACACGAACAGTTTATCAAGTATTAATATGGTATATATTTTTTTTAGTAAACAATTTTTTAAGCACAAACATTTTGTAACGCCTTCGAAAAAAACAACAATTGCACAAAATCCGTGCACAAAGTCATGAACCAACTAACGTTCGTTCGTTGCACAAAGTATATGGGTATGTGGGAATGAAACGATACGAGTAAATAGGAATGAAACGATACGAGTAAATACAAGTACATACTCGATACTTTTCGTTCGATACCAAGTAATTTTGGCATCGTCACTTTTGAACCAATTACTGAGTAGGTCTCGAAAACAAAGTACCCGTATCGAAACCCGATACCAAGTTAAATTTTGCTCCGAAATTTTTTAGGTATACGTTTATACCTAATATGAATCGCCCTGTGCTTTTTGGCAACTAAATTGCCAGCGAAAAGCGCGAGAAGGCGCCAAAGTCGACATAATGCAAAGTATATGCGATCCGATTGCTTCACCAAAGTCGAGTGTTTGCAACGTTTAGGCTATCTGCACACTTGTCGTCCAATCATAGTTGCGTTATCTTCTCGCCCTGAAATTTTGAGCCGAGCACATGCATTTCAAAGGAGATCTGCACAGTTGTCGTTATCGGCTAGTTATCGGCATATCGCAGAAGATGCAAAAACGGATAAGTACGGCATTGTCGTTTGCTAATCGTTGTGCACGCATTGTTTGTTTACATTTTATGTGGAAAACATAGTGAAAAAGTTAATATTTGCATTAAAATTGCACAAAAAAGTGGATAATTGCATTAAAATTCAATAAATGTGAATGTTTTAACTATAACATATGATGAAATTGTAAAAAGTCTCTGTGTGCATGCACAAAACACATTTCAGGAAAAGAAAATAACTGATATTATTGAAAAATTATGTCTTGAATTGTTGAAGCACAGTCTATATTTTAAAAATTGCAGGTTTTTGTAAATATTTCGCGAAAATATCAACCAGAACAACAGAAAATACCTGCTCCAAGTGAATTTTTAGACGCCAAATGAATTGAAATTTCACGACCGAGTGTGCGAAAGTGTAGTCGTCGTGTAATCGTTGCATCATGATTGTGACGATGAAGAAACTATGATTGGACGACCAATATGCAGAAAGCCTTACACGGCCAATTGGTCGCGTGGTAGTGTGAAGTGGATGAATATTCAGTACAGACGTTTCAACGAGATTTAAAAATCACTGAGTAACTCTCTTATTCTTCGCTGAAAACGTTAGCGCTAGGGCAGGCACCTTGTCGTTGGTGCGGGGGCCTAGCCGAATCGCCGACCATTCCCTTTCTGGTCTGGGGCTTCGTTGACGCGCTCGCCGCTTCTGTGCTGCCCTTTTTCTAGACTGGGGCTGCCGGCGAACGGTGACCAAGGACAGGGAGTGTTGCAACACCGTGCCTATTGGACGGTTTGCAGCGAGGAGGGTATAAACCGGCTGTATTATAACGGCCCCTCTTCGACACCGCATCGAGGAGTAACGATGGCCTTGCCGCGACATGGGGCGCTGGCGTGGCGGACTGGATGCGATCCCCTTCAATTTCATTGACTGCTGAGCTCGCCTCGCCGAGCAGGCAGTCGTACGAACAAGATGAATACAACTAAACAAAAAACAACAAAAACAACAACAACAACACAAATATAAAAGCTAGCACGGAAACGGCGACAACGACAGCTACAACAGCAGCTACAGCTACACCTGCAACTATCGCTACAACAGTAGCAACAGCGTCAACAGCAACTACAGCAGCACCTGCTGCGAAAACAGAAACAACAGCACTAAAAACAGCAACGGCCACGCACGGCAGTAACATGCTGGGCTGAGGTAAGGGCGTTAGGCGCAGGGGCAGCTTCCTTAAGAGCCTAACCGAGGAAGACCAGTCCAGAGAAGAAGAGAAGCCAAGTACCAGCAGGGGCGGCGTGGATCGGCCCAGCATAGTTCGGAAGACCTCAAGGGAGCAGAAGAATTAATCCCAAAGAACAGCCATCGCTCTGCAAGCAGGCATCGGACTGAGGGTCGGGGCCGCTCCAGGAGTCGTGACCGCTCAGAGAGTAGATGCTGGTCCAGTGGCCGGCGTCGCACTTAGAGCAGGCGTTGCTCCAGCAGCAGGCACCGTTCTAGCAGTAGGCACCGCAGGTCACCCAGTCAGACCTTCTCAGCGTCGCATGAGTCAGTGTGGCAGGTACAGGAGATCATGAAACGCAGCCGTAGGTGCAGACCTCCTCCACTACTCCCCTCCGGTCAACCGGGTGCCCTTGACGACCACCATCGAGCTGGGCTGGGTGGGTCGGGAGTCAAGTGGTATTTTCGGTACCTTCAGTAGGAGATATCGTCGAATTAAGCCCGCACTATGGCGGAGGTACGGCAAGAGGTGGAGCGTGAGGAACGTGAGCGCGAAGAGCGCAAGCGCAGAGGCGACAGAGCTGCAACCGCTGGTAAGCAGCAGAGTAGCAACAGAGGTGAACTACCCGCGCTTGCTGAAAAGCAGAGAAGCGGGCAACAGCAACAGAGACCAGCGCCTGCTGCAAAGCAGAGAGGCGCGCAACAGCAACAAAGACCCCCGCCTGCTGAAAAGCAGAGAAGCGGGAAACATCAGCAGAGACTCGCGCCCGCCAAATGGCGGAGAAGCGGGGAAACCAAAGGTACCCTTACAGCAACTTCCACAGGTCCAGCAAAACGAACCAGCCTACAGGTTACACCACCGGAGCTACCGTCCCCCAAACGGCAGCGGGGGCCTACACCCCCTCAGACAGAGTCTGGGGCCTGTATTGGTCTTCGGGCCAAGGTCGGTCTCAGGAAGGAACCACTCAGCAGCCCAGCTATTCTGATGCTCTTAAAAGCATCCGGGTGGCTGTGCTGCCCTGTGATTACCCTGCAGCTGCCCTATGCCCTGAGGACCTAACCAGACTCCAGGATGCAATTATGGATGAAGTCCTGAAAGGGTGGAAGCACCCTCTGGTGTTCTGTGGAGTGTACTTCGGGTCAGGCATGCTGCTTGTGGACTGCAAGGATGAGCGGACTGCAGCCTGGCTCGCGGAAAAGGCGCCGGTTATTGAGGGGTGGGAGGGACCCGGGCTATGCACCAAAAGAGGAGAGGACATCGCCCCGGTGCATACCATCTCGGCGTTCCTCCCTAGATGCGCCGAGAAATCGGCTGAGTATGTGCTGGGGCTCATCCAGGCCCATAACGAGGGTGTCCACACGGCTGCGTGGAAGGTGGTGTCGTGCGGCGCCGAAAACAACGGTCTCAGGCTCAAACTGGGCATCGACGAGGAGTCGTGCGTCTGTATTAAGAGCGCCGGATTTAATGTTAACTTCCGGTACCGCTACGTCACAGTGAGGCCGTGGCGTCAAAAGCCGACAGGCACCAAGCAGTCAGAGTCGCAAGACATGTGTATTGACGCGGCAACTGACTCTACTACTGCCCAAGCGACCGAGTCGACCACGGCCCCACCAGACACCAGCTTACGGAACCGGCACAGATACCAGTCAACCAGCTAACAGAACCGGCCCAGGCACCAGCTCCTGTGAGTTACAGGCCAAGTGCCCCTGACTATTTGCGCACTACACAAGAGCTCCTAGCGGATATTGGCAGGCTCGAACTCGATAGAGGAAACGAGGGGGCGCGCAGCTCTTGGATATCGACGACGAGCCCCAATTATGAAGTCACCAGCAGTAGAAGTAGCCCAGGTCAACCTGCATCACGCGATGGCCGCCGCGGCGGTCATTGCGAGCAGATTTTCCACGGAGGACCTGGGTATACTACTTATACAGCAACCGCGGACCTACAGGGGCCAGGTGAGGGGCCTCAACCACAATAACAATAAGGTAATTTGGGACATCTCCTGCGAGAGGCCCAGAGCGTGTGTATTGTTGAAGAATAATATTAAATATTTTTGCATTACAGAGTTTCTTACACAGAATTTAGAATTCTGCCGCAGGAACCGACTTCCTGCAATTCTAGGCTGCGATGCAAACGCCCACAACATGGAGTGGGGCAGGTCGGACACCAACCGCAGGGGTAAGTGCTTTTTAGAATATATTATTAGCGAAGACCTGAGCATTCACAATGTTGGTAATGAACCAACGTTCATTACTAGGGTCAAACAGGAAGTTCTTGACATCACTCTCAGCAACAGACTAACCAGTCCTCTGATCTTCAGTGGAGGGTCTCATCTGAGCCCGCACTGTCAGATCACAGGATTATCCGGCTTGCACTGGAAGCTGTTTGTCAGACAGGTTACCCCAAGAGAAACTCCAGGAAAACAGACTGGCCCAAATACGAAGAGGTACTTAGACTGAACCTACTCACGATAAAGGTACAACAATGAAAAGTAAATTGTATGGCGTTAGAAGACAGGGTTAATAGGCTGAACGGCACTATTTTAGATGCCTTTACGTCCATCTGTCCCGTGTCTAGGCCTACGGGGAAGGCTCAGCCTCCCTGGTGGTCACGGGAACTCACGGTTCTTAAGAAAGAGGTGCGAAGACCTTTCAATAGGGCAAAGCGCACCGGGAACTGGGAGGAATACTCAATCAGTCTTACAAAGTACAATAAGGAGATTAGAAAGGCCAAGTGTAGCAGCTTCAGGACCTTTTGTGAGAACATCGCATCCACTCCTGCAGCTGCTAGGCTTCATAAAGCTTTGACAAGGGACAACACAGGCACTAGATTGGCTATTAGGCTACCTAATGGGACTTTTTCAGGTACTAAACAGGAAAGGGCACTCGCCCTGCTGTCGGCCCACTTCCCGGACGCCATTCCCACCGCCCGGGGATGTGATGTTTCGTGCGTTCATGCCATCCCCACCGGACTCCTTCGAGCGGTACAAGACCCCTGGGGTGGATGGCATATGTCCGGTGTTGCTGGAGCAGGGAGGGGAGCTCATACTTCCACATCTTGTGGATATTATGAGGGACAGTCTACCACTGGCCCACATTCCCAAGGTGTGGCAGAGGACCAGGATTATGTTTATCCCGAAGGCAGGTAAAAGAGATTACTCTCTTGCCAAGTCATTCAGGCCGATAAGTGTCGCGTCCTTTATGTTAAGACAATGGAGAAAATTGTTGATCATGAAATCAGTTTTAATTTAAACTATGTTCCCATTAACGTAATTTAGAGGTCAATCTTAGTTTACGCATAAATTAAGTACAAACTAAGTAATTTCGCCTTGTAAAGTCTCTCAGTAAATTAAGTTGAAAGTACGTAGTTTATCTTAAACCAAGAACCAAATCACGAACAAATCAGTGTCGGCTTTAATTTTATCGATAATAATCGAAAAAAGTATTGTCCCATAACTGATATGTCATTGTGTTTGGACGTTTTTGTTTTTAATAATCGCGCGTGGTAGTTTGTAAAATATTTCCAGAAGCTTTCTCTTTTGATCACTCATCTAAAATCTAAAAAATTACCACAAACAACTCAGAATATAAAAATATACGCAATTACTCACATTCGCGATCTCTTTTGGTTAAATAAACGATAACACAGGGTTGCTACAAAGCTGTCAAGACAAATAAAAAATCGCGTGTATGAACGCACTTAATTTAGTGAGGTATTTTAAACGAAACTAAGGGCCGGTTACTCAATGTCTGGTTAACACTAATCTCCGGTTAAACATAGTTATTGACGTTACCGACTCTCTGTTGTATGCATGGAGTCGAAGACGTCGATAACGATGTTTAACCGCAGATTAGTGTTAACCAGACATTGAAAAACCGGCCCTAAGTATTTTATGTTGGTAATGTGAATATAGTTTTAGATCCACGGACACTGCTCTGTATACCATAACGGAGGAAATACAAGAATTCATAAGAATTGCACTAATGAATTATGTTACATGAAATATATTAACGCAGTAGTGTCATATTACAAGAAATTATTAACACTCCAACTATAACATGAACCAAAAATACAAGATCACGTAAGAACGCGACGTTGTATTTGTAACTGGTTTTGAGAAAAAAGTTTGCGAAAGCGGGTTCGTCAGCTGAGCGTTTGTTTACATCACAAGCACCACTATTTTACACTTTTATTCAAGTAAAGAAGAGTTAATTCAACATGACAACACATTTTAAAGCATTTTGTTGCATCATTTTACCTAAATTGTGCGTTTAAAGTGGCTGACAATAATTTTGGCTAATTTTGGTTTTCGTTGTTTTCTTTGCTTTGTTTACTTTTCGCTCGTTTTCCAGTGAAACAAGATGGCGTAGAACCCGCTAAAAAAATCGACTTTTTTCGCTCTCTTGTTCTTACGTGATCTTGTGTCTTTCGTTCATGCAACTATAAGGTGGTTCATAACCAGGGATGCCGTTTCAGTCTAAATAGATCCAATTGGATACATTTTTAGACGAATTTTACCGATCAGTATAAATGTGGATACTTTTTTAAATAGGCCAAAATTTTATATTTTCTATAGTTTTTTTCGTTGAAAACTCGATTTTCATTAAAGATATTGGAAAGCATTACGTTTTCTAGCATTTAATTTTTTGTGAACGAAGCAATAAACATGAAGAGATCTCACCAAAATAAGTATAAGTGCAATTGTTTTCATTAGCTAAAAAGTATGCTTTAAGCAAGAGCTTAATATATATATAAAGCAAATATATACTCTTTCTGTAGTAATATCTTACATATCACATATTTTCATTTGTTAATTTAAAAAGAAAGCAGATCAGATTAAAATACTTTTTTAAAAAACTAAATTTGATTTATTTAAGAAAATTTGTGGAAATTTTACTGAAATACACTCTAAAAAAAATTTGTTTATTGCGCATATTAAGAGAGGTAACCAGTTTCCTGTTTTAATGTGTGCAAATTTGCACACCGTGTAATAAAACTAAACATTTACCTTGTTTATGTGGCATCAAACGCGGTATCGAATTAACTCGTGTCAGCGTAGCTCGCTTGAAATGCAAGTGTTTATATGCAATACAAGAAATGAGTCGATCGAACACACTTTCAAACAGAGTTTATCCCGATGCAACCCCGTTAATACATGTGTCAATTCTTGACAATAATGAACATTGAAAAATAATAATTAAAGACTCAAACCGCCTTGCAAAAATTATACTAGCTATTAATTTTATAACAAAGCTTAGCTTAAGTGTAATTTCAAGAACTATTTAAATGGTTTACTTTATACAGAGTTGCATGAAACAACCGTGTGGACAAATTCCGTGTTTATATGCACTCTTAAAACGATTCAACAACTCTTAACTCGCATTCAAAATGTAATTTATGGTGGCACGATTCGATTGATGGTGCCAATTCGATTAGATAATGGCCCGTAGTTATAGTCAAAATAAAGTCGACTGTAAAGTTAAAAGCAGCTTTTTGACATAACTTTCAATGAGATATCTGTCAAAAAACCTGCTTTTAACTTTAGAGTCGACTTTATTTTGACTATAACTACGGGCCAATGTGTTTACATGTGTGTGTCCACATAACATGGTTTGACTTAGAACGAATTGAAGCATCATATAAACGTGGTAATTGCCTGTTTTCTTTTACATACCAATTTTGTCGCGAAGAGCAAAATTACATATTAAAAGTTTAAAATAGAGTAAATGTGACCCCTAATATATATTATTAGTAGGAAATGTATTTTTAATTTGAATTTTTTTGCAATTTTAAATATTTTATATGTATATTTATGTATATATTTTAAAGATCTCGAGTTCAAAATCAAATCCTGAACATCTTATACGTATATTTATACAGATTCTTGTTGAAAAATAGATACATTTCAGTAGTAGTTTTACATGCTCTTTTTAGTGTGTACAGGTACAAATGTAACACATGAATTACTATTTATTATACTTGCAAAATACTTATGCTCAAAAAATGTAATTTATAAATTGAAATTACAAATGTTTGATTTCATGAAAGTTAAAAATATATATACATGTATTCCAAGTCCTTAGGATGGGTTAATTATGTCTTTTTCTTGAAAATTTTTGGTTTTATTACAATTTATGAGATGTATACGTAAAAAAGAAAACTGGATATATTTGGATACATTTTTGGCTTGGTCAGTGATACATTTTCTTGAGACGGCGCGGCGACACTGTTCATAACATGTAAAACTGGCTACACACGACAAACATATGCGCGCACATGTGCGCCAACATGCTCGCTGTCGTTTGCCACAGACGGTGAGCGGCTCATATGTGATTTTGTCGTGGCAGCGTAAAGTGATTAGCAAAGACGGGGATGATACAATTGCAATGCCTTTAAGTTAGCTTCTTTTTATGTATTTGTTACTTAAATTTATTTATATTTTACTTGTATGTATGTACATCCATATACTTATAGTAACTTACCCTCATTTATCAAATATTCAATTGACGCACATGGCTTGGATGCATTTATCCGCCGATGTGCACACTTCAAGATTCAACACAAAATGAGGTTGTTGTTTTTGTTTCCAACGCGATGCTCGCAAACCACGCTACAAACGACAAACATGCACCGCAAGCCGAGCATGTGCGCGCATATGTTCGTCGTGTGTAGCCACTGTAAAGAATATCTTAGGCACTTCCGGCCAGGATAGACACCTGAGCAGATTAATAAAATTTAGCGCACCTAAAACTACGGTACTTTATTGGCTTATTACTGGTGTCAGAGGCGGACATTTGAGTATCACCGGAAAATAGGCTGCCTCCCGAGCTCGATTGCAGTAATCTGGCAAAAGACTGGCCAACATGGAAGAGCACATTTTGCATGCACATGCATGCAAATGAAAAACTAAAAGAAAGCGAGGATGTCAAAATTGCGACATTCTTATGGCTGGTGGGACCGAAGGCGGTTGAAATTTACAACACCCTGTTCCCAAATGATGGGTCAACAGAGCAGGTGCTTGGTATGGGCAGATCTGCGGATACTGACGGTGATGGTACTGGCGGTGAGAGTGCACGTTCACTAGCATATGTGCTCAACGCCTTTGACGAGTACTGCATTCAAAAAAAAAACGTGGCTATGGAATCGTTTAAATACAACACGATTACCCAAAAATAAAAACAACCGTTTTCTGAGTTCGAAACGGAGTTGCGTACCCAAATTCGCTATTGCGAATTCAACAGTAGCTGTGGTCAATCCTATAATGACCGCATGTTACGGGACCGAATCATTCTGGGTGTATACGACAAAACACTGCAGCTTAAATTGCTCGACGGGAAGGATGAGCCGCTGTCTCAAATAATTCAAAAATGCAATGTGTACAAAACTGCAAATGCCTTTTGGACCAAGGAGTTTCGAGATCCGTCAATGCAATCACCCGTTTTTGCTACAACTGTGGGCAACAATTTTCGCTCGGACATCTAAATGTGTGCAAAGGCAAAGACGTAGTATGCAGAGGCTGTGACAAAAAAGGTCATTTTGTAAAAATGTGTCGAGTTAAAAAAAGCCAGCAGCCATCACAATTCCCGGATAAGAAAACATCAAGCAGCGGACAGAAGACAAACTCCGGATCGTACAACAAACAAAATGGACAGGTGCACTCAGTGGGAGATTATTATAACTGGAACGAAGAAGGTAAACCTAACTGTAAAATAGAATCAATAAGTGGATCATTAGATTATACTCATATTTATAGAATAAATACGAATAATAACGGCCTAGTGAGAAGCAAGTGGACTAAGACAGAGTATATGTGACCTGGTCTACGGAAAGGGGGCTTAGGTGTCAAAAAATCAATTTTCACTTTTTGGTTGATTCGGATGGAAGATGAGATGCTTTTTCACGTGGTGAAAAGCAGAAAATCCTAACTTGCTTAGAAGTGTACTAAAAATGTAGAAACAGAAACAGTAAACGTCACTTCTTCAGTGGTACTTTTTTATATGTTCCACACTAGCAACTTACACGATGAACTATAATAATATTCCGACCAACAACAACACTTACTGCACCAACAACAACACTTACTGGACGTCTGGCGCGGAGAACAATTAACGAGATAATGAGAAACTGACGAAACGAGTTGCTTACTTTTAACAGCTTTTTCACAGAAAACTAGTTTTCGCACGTAAGCTCCCTTTTCGTAGACCAGGTCACATATACAGAATATGCCGATTACGTTTAAAGTAGACTCCGGATCCGATGTGAATTGCATTCCTATCAATTACCTTTCTTAACTTAAAATTAAAGTTAACAATAAATTTGACGACTATCCAATATATGATTACCGTAACAATAAAATTAACAATATTGGTACAGTAATACTGAATTGCGTTGATCCTGATTTGAATACTGAACAAAAGACAGACTTTGTTGTTGTGGATGACACACATGCTCCAATTCTAGGGTTAGAAACTAACGTAATTTTTCAGATAATAAAACGTATCGATATTAATACAATAAATGCTAGAATGACACCTTTACCAAAAGATAGGGATGACTTCATCAAGCAACACATTTAGTGGTTTAGGTAAATTTCCAGGGACTGTTTCAATAGCATTGGAAGATGGGGCTACTCCTTGTTTGCACTATAAAAAGAGAATTAAATTGAGTATGTTAGAGCGGTTCAGCCGTAAGATTGAAGAGATGGTGGGTAATAAAGTTATATCGCCAGTAAATTATCCTACAGACTGGGTGCATAATGTACAGCTGGTAGAAAAGAAAAACGATATTCGAGTTTGTCCGGATCCAAAACCATTAAATAAGTGCATAAAACGTGAACATTTTCTGATTCCAACCTTCGACGACATTACCAGTCAATTAGCTAACAAGTATATATTTACTGTACTCGATCTTAGTAGTGGGTTTTGGCAAATGGAATTGGACGAGCCAAGTTCGAACTTAACGACATTTATGACACCGTTTGGCCACTATAAATTCAATCGCGTGCCCTTTGGTTTAAATTGCGCACCCGAAATGTTTCAAAGAGAAATGGTCAAACATTTCGGCGATATCCCCGGGGTCATAATTTATTTTGATGACATGGCAATTGAGGCAGAGGACTTAGAACAGCATGACGAGACTCCCGCAAAAGTTATTGCACGAGCAGTCGAAAAAGGCATAAAATTAAATCCAGATAAAATTCAATATCGTCAAACGGAAATGAAATTCATGGGATGTATAGTTTCAAAAGGTACCATCAAACCGCATAGTAAATATTGTGAAGCAATTCGCGGACTTAAGAAACCAAAGAATAAAAGCGATGTCATGTGATTTTTAGGTATGCTTAAATTTTTAGCAGCATATATCCCTTGCTTATCAAAACAATCGACAAAGTTACGTGAATTAACACATAACGATGTCCAGTTTCAGTGGACTGATGCTCATGAATATGAGTTTCAGAAACTCATCAGTATTATTACATCTGGGCCTGTGTTAGCTTTATACGACAAGAAAGGGCCTATTGTTATTCAAACGGACGCTTCAAAAGATGATCTAGGTTGTGTGTTACTTCAAGAAGGTCACCCTGTGGCTGAGTAAATCAGAGCAGAAATGGCCTCAAATAGAGGAGTTACTGGCTATAGTATTTTCCTGTATTAAGTTCCATTATTATCTTTACGGTTGTGAATTTTTAGTGCAAAGTGATCACAAACCGCTAGAATCACTTTTGAAGAAAGAGATCGATGAGGTGACGCCCAGGTTACAGGCCATGTTCATGTTCTTGCTTAAGTATCCAAAAATGGTGGTAATTTATACTCCGGGTAAGCAAATGTTGGTGGCTGACTGTCTTTCTAGTGCAGCACTACGCGAGACTGCTGAAACCGACGAACTAAAGGGTGTTATTCACACCCTGACGAGAAAAGTTTGTATGTCAAAATACAATTACGATATATACTGCAAGCATATAGATGCAGATGAAGAGTACACACAGTTGTGTCTATTTGCGCAACAAGGATGGCCCAAATATCAACAGTTGACGGAACTAAGCAAACAATTTCACAAATACAAGTCAGAAATACACTTTGAAAATAACATGCTGTTCAAGAACCATCGACTAATAATTCCCACGGCATTACAACCACAGGTTTGCACGTGGCTGCACAGGCCCCATCTTGGAATATAAAAGACACTGGCAAAAACCAGATCTTTGTATTTTTGGCCGAACATGGGTAAACAGATAACAGAATTAACTACTAGGTGTGTTGTGTGTGAAACTTTCAGACGCAATAATGCAATAGAGCCATTGAGGCAAGACGACGCACCTAAGTATCCTTTTCAAATAAAACTGCCAGCTGCGTGACTGATACACTGAAATAAATATTTATGAGAGTGGGTTATCCAACAATAATACGGTGCGACAGCAACCCTTTTAATTCGGTAGAAATAGAAAATTTCTTAAATGATGCGAACACTGTCGCAACTGCGAAAAATCTGTTGAAGCGCTGCTATGAGGCGAACGAAAAAGATAACTTTCAATATCATCTCCTGGAATATAACAATTCCCCAATCGCAGACATGCACCTAGCTCCAACACAATTATTTTTTGGTAGATTAGTAAAAGCAAAGCTCCCAACAGCAGAACTACTTTTGTGCCGGAATTCAGGAGACGAATCAAAAGTACAGGAAAGAATTAAAAGAAAAAAGGTGAAACAAAAACATTACTTTGACCGCAATGCAAAAACATTACCGGAATTACCGGTAGGAGATAGGGTAATTTTTAAGAAAAACGGGAAAGAATGGCATTACGGTCAAATTATGGAGAAAATAAATGAAAGATCGTATATAATTAAAGATAACAACAATTTATATTAATTATTGTTGTTGTTGTAGGCTAGTCGATCGATTGCGTTCGTGTGCAAGAAAAATTTCTTTTTTCTTTACGTTTTGCCCAAAGTTTCGCTAATCACCTTAGCATCTTCAGGGGCGAATCTTTATTTAAATAACAACAAGAAACAGAACAATGTTATCGAAAAATAATGATGTACATACATACATACATACATACATACATGAATACAAAGCTAAATGTTAGATAAACAAATGAAAATACGAACACAAAGAGACTATCACAGGTTTTAATTTTTCTTATGGCACTTACGTATGGTTTACATTTAATTGACACTGAATATTTAGAAAACATTTGAAACATTTAAAACATGGAAAATTTACACTAAAACATTAAACATTAAAAGCATTGATACCATCAATATGTGGTACTCTCGTCATACTAAACTTTAACTACAAGCATAGCATATAAGCAGCCGCGATGTCATCAGTGTCCTCCTTCTTGTTAATTGTTTTTTCCATTTTCTGTAGAATTCGCAGGCTTTCTTTGGTGTATCCTGTCTTTTCTCTCCGTTCTTTGTCTAATATTTTGACGTTGTATAGATCAGCTGTGTGACTACTATTTAGTATGTGTTGCGCTAAAGCTGTGCTTTGCTTGTTTTTCTTGATATCTGCTTCGTGTTCTGACAGACGAACGCCCAATGCTCTCTTGGTCGTTCCAATATACACTTTGTTGCAGTTTTCGTTTTTGCTCCCCTTGCATGTATCTTCGTATTCCACGTTGCTTTGTTGGTGGAGCGGTAAGGCGTTTTCGTTTGGGAAAAGATTGAAGAAAGCGTGCAGTTTGGTCGGTATGCCAGCGTTACATTAAGGTTGTTGGCGTTTATGTCATGGTCAAGTTGTTGGTAGAATCGAGGGATGTATGTGACGCTCTGATATCGCTTCGTATCGTTGGTAGTTTTCGTATTCGGTGCTCTGTTAAATTCGTTGTTTATTTCTGAAATTTTTTTGTTTTATTAGACTTTGTATTAAGTGGTGCGGGTAGTTGTTGCTTGCAAGAATTTTGTTTATTTTCATTATGTTCGTGTCTTTGAATTGTTGGTGACTTATTGTTAGTATTTTGTGAATCCGATTTTTAGTTGTGCTGACTTTGTACTTTAAGGGCCGGTTGTTCAATGTCTGGTTATCACTACTTGCCGGTTAAACATCATTATCGACGTTTTCGACATCACGCATATAACATGTGATCGATAAAGCAGTCGTTGTATTTAACCGGAGCTTCTACCTCCGATTTGTGCTAATCAGACATTGAACAACCGGCCCTAAGGGTTGCGAAGACAAGTAATTTATTAAACGCCCAGAGGAAGTAGGCTTTGAGTACCAGTCAAGTAGAATTTCATTACTTTTCCGGTGGATCATGACATCCAAAAACGCCACTACCGCTCCACCAACAAAGCAACGTGGTATACGAAGT